TATATATATATAATATATATATATACATACACACACTTTTATTGTGTCTAGATCCCTACGGTAATGAGTTGTACGCAAAAGAAACGACAGGATCCATTGCCTTTTCTCCCTTCTCGTTTATCTTTCCAGTATAATGCGTTCCAACATTATTATCAAAGTCATTGCTACAGTGGTTTCTTATTCCTGCTTGAGACAGCTATTGCCGGCTAAAGAAGTAGTACGTTGGATCCAACGACGTTATGGCGGGGACAATAATTTCCGAGGCTGTCGAGATCTTTGCACGTGACGTAACGACTTCGTGACACTACTCGACATTAGATAGTTGGATAGCTCACATCATTCGTGTTGAATCGCGGATACAATCAGGATTATCGGATATAGAGGACAGGTAAAAAGTAGTCACGTACTTATGGACCCTTATATCTCAAAGATTTTTCTCCGATTTGTTATTGTGAGCTATAAAAGTTTGAAAGATCTAGTTGGGCACGAGGAAAATTAATTATTATTTTCACAAAGTAAAAAGTAGAAAACTTTTTTCTGTTTAAAAGTAAAAAAAATACGAATATATATATATTTTTTTAAAACAATATTTTAATTTATAATTGATAGATATGTATGTGATAGCTTTTTTAATCGTTTGAAGCTGACGTCAACATTTGTAGCACAATTTTTGATACTAGATCTACAAAATTTATTTAACTTATGTTAACTAGGCACTAATTAATTTCAAAAGATTAATATCACATAATTCATAAAAAAATAAATGCTAAGTATATTTTAATAAGAATAATCTAAATTTGCAAATTGTAATATAAAAAAATTGAATTGTTTGACATTTTTGATAAAGAGATTTATAAATGAGTGGATTTATCAACAGATCCACCGCCAACTATAGAAGGTTAAAATTATAAATAAAATAAATAAAATCTTAACTTCTGAAGAGAAATTTAGAGATTTAAGATTCGTCATAATATCATTTGTAAAAAAATAATTTTAAACAATTTTTTTTATTAATAAACATTATAATGAAATTTGTAATATAATATAACAGAAAAAAGTTAATTTAATTTAATTTGTTTCCAATTCTTAATTATAATTCACAAATATCGCCTCGATTGTTATGTTCGATACGTATTGATTATCGCTTGGGAGAGAATAGAATCGAAATTGATATCTATCATTAAAGTCCCAAGTTTATGCAGTACGCAAGCATCATCAGGCAAGTGCAAATTTAGCTTCGGCAACGGTATAATCCTATGTATATCCATTAGCGTGTAGAGAGCTATATGTACATACATGTCGATATAACGTTTTACCACGCCGCTTCGACGGATCGCTAAATGCACGTGCTACGTTCGTGCTGGGGAATCCCCAAATGCAATTGCAGGATTATGTGAAGCTGCAACTCGCACCCTCTGTTGTACGTTCCTAGCTTTATTCGCGACCAATAATATTCCGTGACTCATGTTGGTAAAACAGAATGGTTCCTATAATTTCTTACTATTTTCCATCATTTTTCATTAAGCTTATAAACAATTATTTTCTTGTACTCTAATCATCACTATTTTTCTAATTATTGCATAAATACAACTTTATTTTCATAAATAAGAATTCTTAGCAGTATGGTATGGTAGAGGGTTGTATCCTGCACCTTGAACACAAGAGGTAAGTTGCTCCGATGATATAGTAGATATCTACAGTTTTGCTCTTAACATAAGCATTGTGCGAAGTCCTTTTGAAGGTAAGAATGATATCGACCTTTAACTTTAGAAGGTAATGAAATTCCTAAATTTTGATTTTTTTTTTAAGAACAAAAACATTTTTGTGAGAAAATGCCAATAATTGAAAAAATTCTCCATGTATTAAATTTTCTGATTAAAATTTACTTATCACTGCCAGAAGTTTTAATCGAATAATTTAGCTTTCGTATTATAAATTTCAATTTATCTATGCGCTTCAAAATAACAGAATTGGATTAAGTTTATCATATACTATTATAAAAAGCATGCTTTATGTAACAGAAATATATATTCTACAATCTCTTTTACTTCATAACTCAATAATATCTACATATATTTTTCTTTCATATTATTAATTTATATTAATAAAGAATGTATATATTCTAAACATGTAGAACTCTTTAAACTTTTGCTTATATATATAAACTTCTGCTTTCATATTTACTTGCCTTTTACACTTCTAATCTATTCATGCGCATCATTTCTGTTCATCTATCATGTGCATCTGTGACGTATCGTGCGAATTGATTAAAGGATTAACATGTCCCCAAAGAGGGAATACAAGCACCAATTCCTGCAATGCGCGCGATACATCATATTCATTAAAATCCGCGCAATCGAACACTGCGTCTGCAGCTTGTGCACGGTGTTCGTATCGGAAAGTTCGTAATTATGATCATAAAGGTTTTCTGAGTCTCATCCTCGCAGTCGATAGTACAAAAGCTCTTTGTGTTTCATTATACCTACTGAATATTCAGAGATCTCAATATTTGGTGATCAGCATATGAAGTGTGTACATGCAACGTAAAAAGGAATTGTTTGCGGTATTTTGATGATATTTATTGGAGTGTTAGTTTAGAACTACTGTGTTTAATTACGATCCTTTTCCTACTTGTGACGTCTTAAGTTAATACTACTGTCACGTTGGAAACATCCAATACTGTTGCAAGAAAATTAGAGGAGGAAAGACGAAAACGGTTTATTCGTAAATATTTTTAATAAAAATTTTAATACAAGTTTCAAGAAATTGAAATAAATTTTGTTTCGATCAAGTTAATAGAATATGATAATTGTATATTTATGAATACTACTAAGCATCAAGACCTGCTTTGATCAAAAATAGCATTCTTCTTTTTTATTTATGTTTAAATATTTCTCTATTTTTTTCTTTATTTTCTCTTAATATAAAAACAAATCTCTGATGTTATGTTTTCAAATTATAATTTTGAAAATAGTTGGAATATACGTTAAAATTTACATATTTCATATTTAAAAAACATTTCTCTTTTAGAAAGCTTTATATATTTTATAGATCTCTGAAAAACTTAATATTTTACATTACGATTGCACTGACAGCTAATCTTGTACAAGCTATTTATGTAAGTGTGTAAAGTCTCCAGAGAAATATATTGAGTGACAAACTTTTGACAAACCGCTTACCAAACACGGTTCACGATAAGTTACTTACTTGTAATCACATTTATGCTTGTGTAATGCTTAAAGCGTCGAAGACTATTAAAATTCGATTGAAGTTTCATAATGAGACTTTAAATGATTGATAATTTAATAAAATAAAAGGTTTTTATTTAAAGCTATAATTTGTATAAGGTTCGTAAATTAGGAGGTCAATTGGAAATGGATTAACTGCGATAAATAAGCGTTCTATGGGATGAATTATTTTTTCGTATCGAAAAATTGTATTGAAAAATATTATATATTAAAAAATTTTAATATCGTAAGTTCTTATCTTTCTTTTATCGATCCATATTGGCTTCAAATATAATTTTTTGTAGTTATTTGTATATAATATCTATTATATTAAAGGAAAATGTAATATATATAATGCACATGTTGTATATACGTCTTTCCCAAATGAACATCAATTTTCTCAGTGTATATAATTGTGCTCTTTGCATACGAAAGCGCTGAATATGATCACCGAATTCAATGGTAATGCCAGAAGCTAACATGTAGATTCAGTCCTCATTCAGATATTTGAGGAAAGTCGAATGAACAACGTCGAGTCAGGAAATCCATGCGGACTCGCTCTTCCTTTGCGCGAACAATTTGCAATTCGAAACGGTCTTTATCTTTACATACCCTTTGTTCTCAAAAAGCTAATGTCCATAGGGATATTTATATCTCTATTCATATAATCACTCATATATAACAAAACGCCTAACTTTCGATTTATATTATAAATTTTTTTATAAGACTACATAGTGAAAGAAATATAATAAGGAATATGAATAAAAAAATTAGGAATAGCGTTAACGCATAATGAATACAAATAAATTACAAGACAGAAATATGTGATATATATTTTATTTATATCCATTGTTTAATTACGTTTAATCTTAATTTTTTTATTTTCTAACATTTACAATATTATTCTTAATATTTCTTCCATTGTGCAGAGCCTTAAAATATATAAAGTAAGATATTCGGTTATTAGATATTATTTCAAATTTGGATGCTCGAAACATTGTTTTTCTTGAAGTTCCTATATTTGTAGTTCGTGTATGACTAATCCAAATTCTCCTAATTCCATTAAAGTGTAGAGAAGAGAAGAGTCAACTCTCGCATCCCCGGAGTTTTATTTAATGCTGTGTAACGATGTAATGAACGTATGACATTGTTTCCCTTTTATATGTATTCGAAACTTCGACTAACTTACAATCGCCGCACAACGAAGAAAAATATAAAATCATGGTTATTTATATTGTACTTGACCTAACGGATTTATTCTCTGTTTGCAGCAGTGCTCCTGAATGCAGATGTGATAACTAACGAGTAGCATATCGTGCTTTTCGTCCGCATTACTTAGTACCGCGGTTACTCGGCGCCATACAGCTCGTTCTTTCTCGCTGACAGCAATGCTAATTTTCACTGGCAACAAACGTTCTAACAAGTATTACCATAACTCTTTGGTTACAATATATAACAATTACATGCAAATATAAACAATTATTCGGTCAGCATCGCCACTGTTAATGCTGTTGTGTTGTATACCGCTACGCTTATATTATATGTTTTAAGGAGGTATAATAACATGGTACTGTATTGTTTCTGTACAATATGTACAATGCTATATATACATATATCTCGTATTCATACAAAATTATTACACAATAAACTGCTCGACATATAATTTTACTTTCAATATCTTTGTCGACTAAAATAAAGCTAATTGTTATACATAAAATAAATGTAAAGACTTATTATATAGGATAATTAATAATGCATGAATTCGAAATTATACGAATTCACATAAAAATATTATTAGGCACCAAAATTTGGTTTGACTAAAGTTCTCTTGTCCATATATTTGTACAATATAATTAATTACACAATATCTTTTTGCGATAGGTATTCATATCGAAAAGCGACATTGCTACCAATGCATTTACACTTTTAATAAATATATCAAAGCAATAATAAATTTCCAAGTGCAATAAAGTATAATATAAAAGGAAAAGACATTTAATTATGTCATTTAATTATGTCATATGGACATTTAATTACGTCGTATTCGAAGAGCGTTTTTGCGACATTTTTTCAAACGTAATAATTATATAAGTATAATGATACGATCGTTAAAAAAACGATGTCTCTCATTAGAGATTTTTTAATACATCTTTTGTAATATTTTCCGAGTATCGTTTCCAATCGAGTAATAATAAAATATTAAAATATCTAATATCATCATTATCTTTTGTAATAATGAAATAAATGTTAGCCGTAGCTTGTAATGATGAAACGATGCTGTAGAAGTTCGGGGAGCTGCCGAAGAAATAATTTCTCTCTGGAGAAATTCGCATTTTCCATGTTTAATAAAAGGCGTTGGCTGATTGAATGGTTTTTCTTCTTTGATAATATTATATATATTATATATATGGTATATATAATATATATATATATATATATATGATATTTTTCGCATCGTATACTCAAAGCATGTGTTTCGAAGTGCATGGCATTCGGTTTAGTTAGAATGGAGATTGTTGACAGCTCTGTAGGGAGGTTCTGACAGGATTACAAGATATCCGTATTGAAGCCAGTTCAATATCCAATGCACAATTATATAACTTGGGAATGAGTCCTATCAGAGTACGAGGACTGTCGCATTCGAATTTGCAGCGATGAATGTGGAGCGTTATAATATCGCTGAGAGCAAAGTAGATGTTGTAATTCACTGTTTCTCATTTGCATTCTGTAATTGTGTTAGCTTTCGGTTGCGCAATGTGAGTAAATTTAACACGAGTTAGTTTGGCATACATAATAATTAGATCACATAGAGCTGGAATGACTGATGAGTTTTCGTGCTCCGCATATCTGTCTTAATTTCACGGAATTTTCGATAATAGATCTGGACATTCCATTTTTTAAAGAGCACCTCGAAACAAATGGATAGACAAACAAACGGTTGCATCTCGGTTATTGCTGCAGCTGTGGGTGGAAAAATATCGGAGTTTCAAACCCGACCGACGCGTAAACTGCTGGAAAAAAATGTTTCCATCTGCAAACGAAATGAAGGGGCAATCTTTTCGCTGATACAACCCCGGTCTATCGATCATCGAGCTTCTGTCACTCGCAACGCGCAGCGTACGTGACACCCGGCTGCAACAATAGGGCAACCACCTGCGTCAAATCGGCGTGACATTTTCGAATGCACGTTGGGAAACCTAAAGGCAGATTAGCGAAAGCACGATGGAAATAGGAGAGAAGGATGAGAGGATGTGGACGGCGGGGCATATTGTTCTGCTGTAATCTATTGTTTAATATGTCAACCGTGATACTCCGGTATTTTCGGTTCAATTCGCCTCTGATCAGTAGTTGTGTTGACACAGAATATTGCTGCATGCCGGGGAAAATGATTGTCAGCGAAATCAGCTTCATAAAATATTTGCTTCTAAATTTTAAAACTTTTTGCAGTTAGTCAGGCAAGCAAATAGGTCAGCACATTCTGTCAGCTCCATCAATGCTTCTTGTTTTTTTTTAAACATTCTATCTAACGCGTAACAAGTTTCCACGCACAGTCTATCTTGTTGACTCAATGTTGGTTGGCTGTGTCGAATCTGGATCGAACAAAACCGAAAAATTTCATTCGTTTGCATAAAGGTAAAAATGTTGTATTGGTTATTGAGTAAAAAAGAAGAGGAAAAATAAATTGCTGTTGTTTTGTGTGAATTTAGTTTAACCAGAACGATTTAAAATATTTTGTCGTAAGATGATTTCAATCTGTGTAGCGTTTAACTTCGAAATTATTATAATAATTAAAAAATAAACTTTTAGATTTGTGGATATTAAAATTGTTGAGACAAGAATCGTGTATTCTATTGTTGTTACGCGACTCAGACAGTTCGGTTGTACGACGCGAATAATGGTCGCACGGGCAAAATAAAATTTGTTGACGTCACTGTGACGTACTCTTCTACAACGCAGGAGCCTAGGCAACGGAGTGCAATCGGAAGAAGGAAGATCTGGATATAACCGAGGAAACAGGAAAAAGGAAAAAGCAGATGGTGGAAGAGCGATGAGAGAGTCTAGTGTGTGAGAAAGGCGAAGAGGAAAACGAGATGAGGGTTTTCTGAGGAAGGAGTATTGGAGTACGGGTCTCCGGTTTGTCGATACCAGATGCACGTTAACTGAAGGTATCGACCTGGTTTAAATATTCCCATCAACCGCCACAGTACTCCTTCAATAATTCATTTGGAAAATGTCATCGTATATACGCGTGGTTATAATAATGAGAGTGACATAATGGACGAAGAGTGTATCGCCTTTATTTAACTCGACATTAATTCTGCCAATTTAATCGTGCATGACGTTCATAGCTTCCATTATTTTTTTCATCTGATATTGCACTTTCGGAAACGATACGTCACAAATGTCTAGATTTTTACTTTTGTAGTTAAGATATAAAATTTAATTTAAAGCTCGCCTTTATTGGCACTTTCAAGACGTACGCGATATCTGATGGTTTCAATGTTCTTTTCGGAATTCCTTACACATTCCTGCATCTACGGATTCTCCAGTAGAGCATTTTCGTAACCATCCTTCTCATGGTTCCTTTGTCGCTCGCTCTGCGCTCTTTAATTACGACGTGCCATCGCGTTTGCTCCTCTTACATTTTCATTTTTCACGTCCGCACTCGAACGCGCCATAAGTTTTAACGACAAAAGTTAAACCGCTACTGTAACCGGCATCGGAATTCACTTCCCGCGAATATTGTCCGTGAATTCCGAACGTTGGTCTTCCTTAACTTTTGCGAGTATTATGAGGAATTTTGTGTAATTAATTGAATAATTCATCATTAAGTGGAATATAATTAGCAATTCTAATTTTCGCTTCTTATAAAATAAATCTGTCGTATATAAAGAGGAAAACAATCATCATCTCGATTTTTGCCATCGCATTCTTCACGGAGATTTTTATTACCAACATTACTAACATTAGTTATGCTGTTTATCATTTATTTTTATTGATTTCGAATACAATATGTGTTTGTCTTCTCTCGTAAGTACTTCTTTTCTTATTGATATTATTTTATTGTCTATGAACACAAAGCTTTTAAACGTTTTCTCTACCTTCTATCTTGATTGCCCTTTTCCGCTATATTTCTCGAATGAGACAGGGAACTTGAAAATATATTGATTATATCTTTAAACTCGCCTTATGGCGCCACGCAGGAAGAGCTTTTTTCTTATTTTCTTGAACATGCCCATTCAACTGTGAATAAGACCGTTCGTCTGGCCATCTTTGATTCGGGTGAGTAGAGCTCGTCGTCAAGTAGGTGAAAACAATGGCTCGACGAGTTTTCTTATAGAGAAATCGCGAGAGAAAGATTTCCGTAGGACAGGCGGATGCGAAAAAGATAAGGCGCCAATCTAACCCGAGCTATGCTTTAGGAAAGTCCGAAGACGCGCATTACTTTTAATTCTGTTTCTCTCCAAGTTTAGAAAAGTTTCCTGCAATCACGTTTGAAGTTTTAACCTGACGCGATTACCTCCGAACTTATTTGATATGTTTAATGAGTCACAGTCTCTTGAAATTATTAAGTATATTTCTTCTTCGTTGACAAATTTAGCGACATATGCATTACATAGAAAATTCATTTCTCAAGATATACTATATATTTTTTACGAATGCTTGATATATCATCAGTCAATAAATGAAATTTTTTTATATGAAAACAATAATTCTTTTTATTCATTGAATACAAAAATATTAAATATAAATATAAATATTAAAAATTCTGCAGCAGATACAACTTTTTATTGAAATATTTATCAGGTCAGGTATTTTTAATAGAAATATCTGCTTTATTTTTCTTCAATTACCTTGACATCGTAAGATGAAGTTCACGTTTTCCTTTTCTATCCTTTCAATCATATGATAAGAAATACAACGTATAGCATAAAAAATTTCTATTCTGATTTCCAACTTGTCAATTAAAATATAGGCTGATTTCATAATGAAACTATGATATACGTAATCAAATTTATTTGGTAATTTATTCTTTAAGATTATTTATTATTTAAGATTACACAGAAAGAACGATTTTGCTGAAGTATCTAAAAATTTAACTAGACATATCTGAAAATAATTTTGTTGGATCAAAATAATTATGTAAGGTGCTCAAGCATATAATAAAACTACAAAAAGTTTTAACATTTTAACAAACCAGTTTGAGCATCCTATACAATTATTTTTGTCATTTTTAGTTAAATTTTTTAAACATTTTAACAAAACCATTCTTTCTATGTATAGAAACAATTTGCCATATTTAGATTTTCAAAAAAAAAACAAGCCTTTATGACTACACAAAAATAACATGCTACTTTTTAAATATTAGGTACGAAAAACAGGATTAACAAAGAAGCATAAAATAGATTTTTAAAAGCTACATAAAACTAATGTTACTAACCTTGTTGACTAGTATA